TTTTTTTTTAAGATTTTATTTATTTATTTGACAGACAGAGATCACAACTAGGCAGAGAGACAGGCAGAGAGAGAAGGGGAAGCAGGTTCCCTGCCAAGCAGAGAGCCCGATGTAGGGCTCGATCCCAGGACTCTGAGACCATGACCTGAGCCGAAGGCCGAGGCCCAACCCACTGAGCCACCCAGGTGCCCCACCACTGTGGTTTTTTAACTGCAAAGATTCTTTAAATGATATTTATCCATAAGTCTCATAACAGGAACATAGTGGAGCCTGGGCAGGTTCTGGAGCAGTTAGCATTTGGATCCAGGTATGCTCTCTTTGAGATTGTCTTGGGATATCAGCTTTGGTCGAATTCTTCTGTGGAAATGGCTTTGTCTGCATCTGTCAGGGGATGCACAGGGGCTAGGGTCATCAGCACTCTGCTGGATGTTGGGGGCAATAAAATAAAAAAAAAAAAGAAAAGATCTGGCCTTTGCCTTCAGGAAATTTACAATATAGTTGGAAAATTATTCAAATTGACAAATATTTATTAAGCACTTACTGTGTGCCAGTCTTATACTAGATTTGAGGGGATTTTTTTTTTAAAGAGCGTGATATTGTGATTTTTCTTTTTTTTTAAAATATTTTATTTATTTATTTGACAGACAGAAAGATCACAAGTAGGCAGAGAGACAGAGAGGGGAGGGGAAGCAGGCTCCCTGCTGAGCAGAGAGCCCGATGTGGGACTCGATCCCAGGACTCTGGGATCATGACCTGAGCCGAAGGCAGAGGCTTAACCCGCTGAGCCACCCAGGCACCCTGATTTTTCTTTTTTTAAAGATTTTATTTATTTATTTGACAGACAGAGATCACAAATAAATAGGCAGGGAGGCAGGCAGAGAGAGAGGGGGAAGCAGGCTCCCTGCTGAGCAGAGAGAGCCAAATGCCGGGGCTCGATCCCAGGACCCTGAGACCACGACCCGAGCTGAAGGCAGAGACCTTAACCCACTGAGCCACCCAGACACCCTAGATTTGAGGGGATTTAACAAAGAATAAGAAAAGATGCTTTCTCTGATGGAGCACGTAACACAGTTGAGATAAACACATGCTTCCAATGATAATAGAAATGAGACCGTGAAAATTGAGTTGCAATGGCACAGAGCAAATAGACAAGATGGAAAGGTTCATCTGTATCAAGCTTCATCTATACCATCTCCTAAGAAGGAGAGCGCAGTGCTCATGGACTGGTATGGTCACTGAAGGCCTTTGGGGATGGGGAATTCTAGCTGGGCTCTGCGAGATGATGCAAGAAAATGTATCCCATGTGAGCACAGTGTAAGCAGGCCTGGAGACTGCATAATGATGTGAGTGTCAAACATTGAGAAGTGATGTGATTGGAGTGGAGAGTGGAAGGGGACCTGTAGAGGAGTCGGAAGACAGAAGACAGGCATCTTAGATGAAATGACAAAGACATCAGGCAGGGGAATTTCTCTTGATTAAGAGGAAGATAAATTCATTGAAGGAGTGGGAGAGACTAAATTTCTTGGTTTGACTCTAGGATTAATGGTAACCCCAAACCATACTCTTGGGGATATTCCCTACTGCTGGGGAGGATTCAAGGTGAGAGTGCCTGGATCCGTCATATACTTCATGTTACATCCCGAACTGGCTAAAGGCTGGACCGAGTTCCTGCCTTGCTTCCTGTGACTGCCATTTCCACCACCAGCTGAATCACTGTGTCAAGATGAGAGTAAATATTGCATTTTATAAGGAGAATCAGCCACCCTCCAGATGAGGATGATGAGGCACAGATGAGAAAGATGGACCTAAGTGCTGGCAAGACGGATTTGGGTTGAAGATAAGAAAGATTTGATGAAATATCGGGATAGGTTCATGAAGAAATCTGTGGAATATTCTCTCCTGAAGATCTTTAAGAACAAGACAGATGCACTCCAGTGGTCCGGAATGAGAAGTACTTATTCCTAAGCTTCTCCACACCCTCACCATGAATGGTAAAAAGTCAACCTTTCATTCTTGTCTACCTTATCTGTGTCTCTGCTTTGCAGTTCCGTCAGCACCACAGAACCCCAGGGTATTTGTATTACCAAGTGGAAAATACCATAACCAGAATGAAGTTGTGGTGGAATTTCGATGGAATAAGCCTAAGCACGAAAACGGTGTGTTAACAAGATTTGAAATTTTCTATCAAATATCCAACCAGACAGACACAAATGAAACATTCGAAGACTGGATCGCTGTCAACACAACTCCCTCGGAGATGTCTTTTGAGCTTGAAGGCATGAGTCCTGGGTACACTGTTGCCTTCCAGGTATGAATAAAAACAGGGAAATGAGGGTCTTAAGATTGATTAAAGGACTAAGTTAGGAATTCGGCCACTCTGTCAATAATTTGGGGTCCACTGTGATCATAGAATCAAGTGGGTAATGAGGACACAGAGGGGAGAGGGGACAGCTAGGGTAAAGGACAGCTTGACAAATTTCTGGCTTTCAGATTCAGAACAGACCATTATTTCTCCTGTGATCACTATAGGCCATGGACCACAGTAGATAACTTTTATATTCCTTATCTCATTTGATCCTCTTATGGTCTGTGAAGAAAAATCCAGGTCTCTGGGTGTATCGGTGAGTTACTAATGCTGTGTGGCTAGGAAGTGGTGTGCTATAGTCCAACTTCTAGAATCCTTTCTACTGGATGATTCACTATTGTGAGTCCTCTGGATGTCCCAACTTGGAGCTACCCATGGAAATAAAAACTGAGGGTCTAGGTGGTTGACATCTCAAAGTTACTTTTTGGCTGCTGATAGAGGAGGAAGTGAGAGAGAATGGGAGGCAAGAATAAAAAGCTACCCCCACCTCATTTTTGTCTTTTAACTCTCATATGAGATAGCTTTCTACTTACAGTAGATGGCTTGATGATTTTCATATCTTCATTAAATGGAAAGTTGGTGACAATGTTGTACATATTTAGAGCCATTTTCCATTACTTCTTGGGGAACATAATGCTTTGGGAAATGTTTTAGAGATCTGAACTTCCTGAGGATCTAGTTTCTTTTTGTAAAGTCCTAATTTAATAATTATTTTGTTAACAAATTAGGTCTACATAGACAAATCAAAAAAGTTGTACATAAAAGTTAAAGATAACACACATTCCCACTGGTTAAGATTTATGTGTGTTCTGGTTAAAGAAATATCCTGGTTAAGTGTATCTGTCTGTTACACAGAGCTTCAGATCTCAGCCACCACAAAACCACGCAAAGTGATATGCATGGGTATGCATGAGTTTCACTTAACACGGCCTTGTGCAAAAGTGAAGATGGCTTGGTATATGTGTGTAGCATCATACACACATGTATACAGAGAGTAGTATGTATAATATGGTAATAGATATTTAACACTAGAAATATATAAAAACAATCTAATGCTTTGTTGATTGAAAGGGCACTTGAGGATCTTCCCTTTGGGTCCATCATTATGGACGTCAGTTTTCTTTACAGGCTATTGTGCATATGCAAGGTTTGGAAGTGGAAGTAATTTACTACACAAGAAAAGACGTGTAATAAAAACTGTTTTTAAAAAGCTTTGGTACTAGGATGCAGGGCGGCACAGTGGGAAGAAACTATACAGCCCTCAGAAGACTTGGTTTTTATGTCAGTTTTTGCACGTGTCATTGTGGATGAGTTACTTAGGTTTGACTGAGATTTTGTCCGGTTTCTGCTCTTAGTAGTTGTGAGGCTCGAAAGAGATAATGTATGTAAAGTGGTTTGAGATGCACAATTTATTTTCAAATGTAAGTTTTAATTATTATTTCTATTATTTATTTATATTTCTATTTATATATTTATATTTATCCTATTTATTACTATTATTTTCTTATTATTTTCCTTTTCTAAATCTCCTTTTTTAAAAGTATAGTAAATTTAGTTATTTAAAGCTTCTAGTTGTTTATTTCACAGTAAGTGGAAATTTGCCATAATATGCATAGTTTTGTTTCTGTTAAATGTTCTACAGAAAATTTTGAAAATAGCTAAAACTTTTCTTAGAAATTCAAATCTTTTGCAGTGGGGATTTGTGCCATTACTTCATACTTTTTTTTTTTTTTGAAGATTTTATTTATTTGACAGAGAGGGAGAGAGACCACAAGTAGCAGAGGCAGCAGGCAGGGAGAGAGGGGGGCAGGCTCCCTGGGGAGCAGAGAGCCGGGGCTCGATCCCAGGACCCTGAGATCATGACCCGGGTTGAAAGCAGAAACTTAACCCACTGAGCCACCCAGGTGCCCCACTTCATACTTTTTTAGACAAAAAGATCAACAACAATAAAAAACAAACCACCAGCATGAATGTGAGGCAATATTTACCTCTTAGTGATTTATTGCTTTATACTTGAATGGAAGTAACTATTTGAAACTATTCAGTCAGAAAAAGAAAAATGCCATATGATTTCACTCATGTGGAATTTAAGAACACAACAGACAAACATAGGGGAAAGGGGAAGAAAAGGAGAGGGAGGCAAACCTTAAGAAACTCTTAACTATAGAGTACAGACTGAGGGTTGCTGGAGGGGAGGTGGTTGGCGATGGGCTAAATGGGTAATGGGTACTAAGGAGGATAATTGTGATGAGTGCTGGGTGTTGTATGTAAGTGATGGGTCACTAAATTCTACTGCTGAAAAATATTATACTGTACGTTAACTATCTGGAATTTATTTTATATTATTTATTTATTTCTATTTTAATTTAATTTAATTTTTTCAGTGTTCCAAGATTCATTGTTTATGCACCACACCCAGTGCTCCATGCAATATGTGCCTTCCTTAATACCCACCACCAGGCTCACCCAACCCCCCATCCCCCTCTCCTCCCAAAACTTCAGTTTGTTTCTCAGAGTCCACAGTCTCTCATGGTTTATCTCGAAATAACTGGAATTTAAATAAAAACTTGAAAAAAAAACTATTCATAATCAGAATTATGAAGTGAAATCTTCAATAATCTATCAGTTTCAGAATGGAATTATTATCATTGAGGACACCACTGAATGCCATTTTCTTGGTATCTTTTTCTTTCTTTAGGTTCGAGTCTTCACATCCAAAGGACCTGGACCATTTTCTGACATAGTAAAGTCCAAAACAGCAGGTATTTATTACCAAACACTGTGCAAAAAACAGCTAGTGTTTTAACAACATTCTTGACCCTGGGTATGCTCAGGATATGAATACTGTCTCTGAGCTGAAGTTAAAGTCAAATAATCAATTTTTATCATCCATGAACATGTTTAAATAAGCCTAAGCATAGGGTGCCTCGGCAGTGTTGACCAAGACTGGAACAGTAGACGACCCCAGAGGAGACCCATGGATTTCAGAATAGTCTGCTTGTGAATCAAGAGATTTTGCCAAACCAAAGATTTTTTTTCCTTATACATATTCTAAGTGTTTCGTTTCTTGTTTTCAGAAATCAACCCATTTCCATACCTTGTAACTCTTTTTGACAGCAAGATAGTTTTATTAGATATGGATCAAAATCAAATTGTATGGACATTTTCAACAGAAAGAGACATCAGTAGCATGGGCTACACAGCTGATGACGGAATGGGGTATTATGCTCAAGGAGACTCACTTTACCTTCTGAACATGCACAACAGGTCCACTTCTGAGGTATCTCACTATGTAAACTATTCTGGAAGGAAAGACATGGATAATTTGCATACCACACTACCCTGTAATTAAAATGGCTGGTCAGTGGTTGAGCCATTAAGATTAGAATGGTTGATAAGGACAGATGTTGTCTAATTATTTAGCCACAGATAAACAGAGATTAGATTTTGGGCAAATGTCATTCAGGATTAATCTAGCAAATAGTTATTTGGTTTAAGGCACTGTGTTAGTTCCTGGGATAGAGGGGTAAAAAAAAATCACAGTCCTGGTATGAGTCTGACACTAGGAAGATAGTACTGTATAGTAATTAATGTGTGAGCTTTGGGATCTGAAATTTAGAATTTAACTGGCTTCCCCACTTACTAGATCTGGCCATCAGCAAGTTATTTAACTACTGATTATGTGGTATCTGGTCATATGGCTCCTGCGAAGATTAAATGAGATAATCTAGGGGAGGCCTGAGCACAATGCTGGGAATGTGGTGGCATTCACTGGATACAGCAGGCAGACAGAAGACAGCATCATACCAGGCTGAGGGTAGGATGTGGTGGTATGACAGAAAATGGGTGATCAGTGCAGGTTGGAGAGGTGGTGGTATAATGGAAAGACATGTTGGGTACAAAGAAGATGATACAGGTGAAGGTGGGAAAAGATGAGGGGGTAGTAAGTGTAAAGACAGGGAAACAACAGAGCCATACCATATTTAGTAGGCTGTAAATAGAGTGAGCTTGGAATGGAGATGGGGGTGAGGGTGAGTGAAGGACAGGTGGGAAAGCTGGAGAAGTAGACAGGAGCCTCAATATAATGGGCCTCTTCTACTGTGCTAAGGTGTGGAGTGCCAATCCTGAAGACCACATCAAGCCATTAAAGAAACTTAGTGGGTCATTCACATGATCAAGTTATGTTACAGAAAGACCTATTAGTGATGTCAATAATGATTTAGAGAAAATTATGTCTTAGACAACTAGGAGGCCATCACTGAAACCCGGACAGGAAATGGTAGGCAGGAAATGAGAGGCAGTGAGATGAGAAAGGAGAGAATAACTTTGGGACATATTTTAAATGGGATTTATTCACGTTTGGGCAGTCATGATAGGAGGAAGTCATGAATGAATCACATCTGTCAGAATTACTCCTCAGGTGAGTGTTGGAAATCCATAAAAATATAGTAGGCAGGAGAAAAGAAGGTTTTGGGGGTGAAGTGATGAATCTATTTCCTGGGATCATTCATATGGAGATGTTCAGTATTCAGTTTGAATCAGTAACTCAGTGAGGGCTTTTGCTACTGTTCTTGTAGCACTGATGTATGAATTATAGTTTAAGTCATGGTAGTTGAAATTAACCAAGAGAAAGAATACAATGTGGGAAGAGGACCAATGATACAATGATACACAGTGCAGAGCTATTGAGATTTTGGATTATAAAGAAGTGCAGTAAATAAGTAATATGGTAGATTGCAGAAAAGGCCTCAAATTTGAAAACAAAAAAAAATGACCACTATCTCCTTGGCTGTGTTTTCTACCTGTTGTTAAGATTTTCCGAGGTGTACTGGTTTTTGATATCACAATTATTACAATTGACTGGATTTCAAGACATCTCTACTTTGTGCAAAAAGCATCACAAAATAGAATGCAAATATTTGATGTTGATCTTGAACATAAGGTGAAATACCCCAGAAAGCTGAAAATTTGCAATAGAAATTCAACAATAGTCTCTTTTTCTGTGTATCCTCTTTTAAGGTATGTAAAGTGTGACTATCTGTTTCTGCTTGATGAAATAGACATTTAATATAATATCTTTGGTTTAATATTAGAAGTCATCGATGGGAAAATAAGATACTTAGGGTTCTTGACTAGCTGTATTAATTCATACTAAGTAATTCTACACAAATTATGAGCCCAGAGCCACAAATTTGTAAATTTAACCCGTACTGACAATTTGGCTAACCTAAAGTTATGGTAATTACCAACAGGAAACCAAAGCTTTGCACATAGCACCTCAAGGTCATTGTAGTCCAAGGCTTTAGTTGTAAACATAGTTATTGAGAAGTCATGGGAAAATGCTATCAACTAAATCGCTTGTGGCCAACTCTATCTCAGAAAGTTATTGGACACTTGGACATGTTCTCTCCAAACGCTGTATTTGTCTCTCTGTTTGTTAGGAATGATTAATCTTTACTGGAAACGAACATTCACAATGATGTGTTTTATTCATTAAGTTGGAGGGTCTTTTTTTTCTCCCTATAGTCGCCTGTATTGGACAGAAGTTTCCAATTTTGGCTCTCAGCTGTTCTACTACAGTATTATCAACCAGACCTTGAATCGCATTCTTCCACCTATAGCCACAAACCATTCAAATGGAAGGAGACAGTGTGTTTGTGGTTTTACTCAATTTGAGTTTAGTGGAACAATGACGATTGATACCTCTGACCTGAAGAAACCACAGATATACTTTGTCAAAGGGCAAGAGATCTGGGCCATGGATCTGGAAGGATGTCGGTGTTGGCAAGTTGTCATGGTGCCAACTCTGCTTGGTAAGACATCCATGTGTGTACTTAGATGCTCATTTGTAATTGTAGTCCCTCCTGTTCCATTAAAAAGAATATATTCAAAAGAAATACACATGGTATTTGCTCTGGACAATGCCAGCTGTTTCTGTAAAATATAAGTCAAGTTGTTTCCAGGAAAATTGTATATAGATATTCACAAAATTTTCTGGATCCGTGGGTTTCTTTGTTGCTGTTGTTGTTGTAGTTATTGTATAATTAACAGTAGAGCTACAATTTATTGAGCTTAACTGTATATTCTAAGCAAGCTCCCAAATGTACTACCTCATTTAATTTTCAAAGCACCTTGATGAAGTAGATGTTAGTGTCCTCATTTTATGGATGAGGAAACTGAGGCCGAGGAAGACTAAGGTACTTGTCCAGAGGGCCATGATTAGTGGAGGAGCTGGGGTTTGAAGCTAGGCCTGACTATAGTATCGATGATCTTATTACCAGCACCCCACTTTACTTCTGTTGTGATGGTCCCATTGTCTCCACCTTCAGCATGAGTTGGTCAGTACTTGACAGGTCTATTTGTTGAAATGCAGTGCATGTGGAGGAAATACTTAAATGTCTAAAGGGATTTGGAGGTCTTCTAATTAGGAGCAACTGCAATAGGAAAAAAATGCACTCTAGATACACTCATATATTATTATTTTTTTAAATTTATTTATTTCAGGGAGAGAGAGAGGGAGAGAGAGAGAGAGAGAATGTGCATGAGCAGAGAGAGGAGGGGAAAAAGGGGAAAGAGAGGGGGAGGGACAAGCAGACTTCTGCACTAAGCCTGGAGCCCTACTCTGGGCTGGATTTCATGACCCTGAGATCATGACCTGAGCTGAAATCAAGAGTTGGACTCATACCCAACCGAGCCACCCAGGCGCCCCTACTCTCATATATTCTTCAGAGTCTACTCCTCACTGTCCAATGTTGTAACCACCAGTCATATGTGATTTAAGTTCAAATTAACTAAAATTAACTGAAATTAAAAATTTAATTCTGCAGTCACATGAGCCACATTGTAAGTGCTCAAAAACACATGGTTATTGTGTTGGGCAGCATAGAAATAAAATATTTCCGTCATCAAAAGTGCTATTGAACATTGCTGGTCTATATAGTGAAGTTTTGAAATTGCAAATGAGTGTGTGTATGTGTGTCTGCGTTATAATTGCACATATGGTTTTGTTGATATGTTACCTAGAGCCTTTGAGAAACAATTCCAATATACTTTCAATGGGTTTTGGAGATAACGTTTTGAACTTCTCTTATTAGGAGACTTACTTGTTTCTGTTCAATCTGTGACAAAGACTCTTTCTTGATCAAACATTGGGTTCCTCTGAGCCCTTCCTCAACTAGACCTTGACATTGGTCTTCCATGTCTGTCATTGCTGAGTCTAGTTTTAGCAAGAACCCTTCTAAATCAGTTTAGAGATAATCCTCCACACCTGGTATTTGATCTAGTTCTTTATTCCCCACCTGTGATGTTCTAGGCTTGCCTTTAGCAAAAATCACAATAAGCCAGTTTAGCAAGAATCTTTCTATCCTTGCTGTCTCCTCTTAGTAATTTTCTATTCACTGATCCCCTCACTCTGCTAGTTGGCTCTGCATCCCCAGCTGACCTTGTTGTATGTGAAGTTGAGCACATCTCTCTCCTCCAATATATTATAGTATTACAATAGTCTTAACTAAAGTCTTCCTTGCCATTTAAACAATTGTCAGAATAATACACATCTAATCTAATCTATCGTCTAATACACAAGAATTATTTAGTGGGCCATTATCTTATAGGTATAGAACCGGTTAGTCTTGCAGGAATCCATAATTAAAGTTTATAACCCTAAAATTAGAAAATTTGAATGACTTTAGAGATCCTTTAGCTGGCATGATGTTGGAAGCAATCCCCTCTATGAAAACAGCCTTGCTTGAGCCCCTGCTTATAAAAAAAAGAAATCTACTTCTTTTTAAGGAAGTTTTTAAACTTTTTGGAATAATTCTCTATATTAGATTTCCCTACTATATTTAGCCAAAGTTTTCTCCTCATTTTTCCCATTCACTGGTCTGAGTTCTGACCTCTAACTTTATAAAGAATCTACTGTCATAGCTCATGACAGTAAGTTGGAAGAAAAATTCATGTATCTCGAACTACTCTTCACATGATGTGGCTTCTAGATCTTTCTTTGCCCTAGTCACCCTCCTGTGGTTTCACTCCGGTTGCTTGATATACTCTTAAATGTCGCCTCCATAACAACTCCCTATACTCTCATTGTGATCTGGTTAGTGCAGGGACCTTCTGACTGCCTCCGTCTTCTTTTATTAGAGCTAAAAGCGACCTTACGTCTTTGGGTTGCCTGCCATTTGAAAAACCCATAGTCTTTTTCATGTTAACTATTATTAAGCCAGATTTCTTTCATTTGTTATTTATAGAATTGATTTTAAGCTTGAATTTAGGTTATCACATTTATTCCTATTTCCTATTCCTATTTCAATCTATTTCCTGATTTTGTTATATTTTCAAATTTTAAGTCAGTGAGTAAACCTATTAGTGTCAGTAAGAATTGTGTATCATGTACAAATTTGGTAAGCATTTTTACTCTGTGTTAATTCCTAATCATTGGTAAAAAATATTGAGCAAGACACTGAGCCCTGGGTCTGTCATCTAACATCTCTCTTCCAATAGGCATTGTTTGATGTGGAGTCACACAAGTTAAGTTGTAAATCTTGGCTCTCAACTTTACTAACTTTGTGGCCTTGAGGAGATTATTTAACTCCTCAAAGCTTCAGTTTCCACTTCTACAAAATGAGGCTAATAATAATAGTATTTACCTTATTGACTTAGGATGGAGCTAAATTGAGAAAATATCTATAAAATCTTTAGCTTCACAACATAAAATAAAGGTGGCATTTTTTTTCCAACTGAAATGATAGAAAGATTCAAAATTTAGTGATTATAATACAGAAAAAGTATTTCACGTACTGTGTAGAGTAGAAACATATGTTATGTATATTTGTTCTTTCTGTTCTTTATTCTATGTTTTTCACGAGCAGGAAGAACACTTGAAAGCTTAACTGTGGATGGGGAATTTCTTTACTGGATCTCCTCGGCAAAGGACAGCACGCAGATTTACCAAGCAAAGAAAAGCAATGGGGCCATCCTCTCTCAGGTGAAGGCCCAAAGGAGTAAGCATATCTTGGCTTACAGTTCAGTTTTGCAACCTTTTCCAGGTAATAAGATTGTACTCGTAATCAGCATGTTCTCCCAGTTTAGGGTCAGAAAAGTCTCAGACTGTCTTCTCCAGGCTGAGCACCCAAAGCCCTTTGTTACTCTCAGCATTACTCCAAATGGTTAGGATTGGTGCATGGTAGGATTGCTGTTTGCTCCGGATCATAATTTAGCTCCATGTGTATCCATGGCTCGGGCTGTGGTAGACAACTTTAGACATTGGAAACCCTTGTCTGTCATTCTCTCTGTCTTCTTCCTTTTCTCATTCCCATCATTTCTCTTCTTTCTGTCTTTTCCCCTCCCACCCCGAGGATATTTTAGACCTCCCAGTCCATCAAAAAGCACCGCATTAAATTTCAGGACTTTTTCAAAGTAAAGTGCTGTATTTATTGTAGCATTTTGTAGGTCAACCATTTATCACGAGTACATGTGTGCTAAGATTTTTTTTTATTAAGTTCCTAACTTTTTTGGTAATGTGTCACTCATGTTTTTTTAGTGCTGTGCCTAAAACTCTATCTCTTCCATAAACCCTGAGGTTTTTATTATGCAGTTTTGTATGATGCAATGACTTTTAGGAATGTATGTCTGGCACTGTGGCAGAACTAGCTATATAATTCACATTTCACTTTGAGAAACTTAAGAAATTTAGTAAGTCTCTGCAACATCTGTTTGAAATTGAACACACACATAAACCTGTACATCCTTAAAAATAAAAGCCCTAAAACGAGCATGAGTTTTTGTAACTGGAATTAATTTAAAAAATATGATTAATATAATGCTGTCATACTTTTTTGAAAGTAAAAAAAGGGTCAATTTGATTTTGCTACTATGTATATTATTCAGTGTACTTTAGCGCCACCTGCTGGAGATTTGAGCAATGAGCACATCACAGAACTGACCAAGAGCTGCCCATCCCTTTTTCTGAGACTTTTAAGGACTTCAAAATGTATGCGGGGGGAGAAACCACGAAACACAAAAAACAAAAAACAACCTTGTCTTCTTTTCCTGAAAAAACATGCTCAACACTTCAGTATATCATACCTTGTCAGCTAGGTTAAAAAAAGATGTTGTTATCCTTGATTTTAAATAAGTCTGCTTTATTTAAATAAGTATGTGTATATTCTTAATCTTCTTTTATTATTTTAGATAAAGCATTACTGCGTCTAGCTTCAGATCTAGCAGAGCCGACTATACTTAACACCAGTAACACCAGCCTCACAATCAGATTACCGCCTGCCAGGACCAACCTCTCGTGCCCAGGCATCACCAACCCAACTCCAACATACCTGGTTTATTACAAAGAAGTTAACAGCAGGAAAACCAGCTCTGAGCTGAAATATAAAATGCTGGTAAGATTGGACCTGGTGGTCTTTGTCTTTTCACAAGACACTTTCACTTTTCACAAGATACTTGTTTCTGATGTAAAATTCTCATTCGGGACACCTGGGGGCTCAGTGGGTAAGCGTCTGCCTTCAGCTCAGGTCAGGATCCCAGGGTCCTAGGATCCAGCCCTGCCCTGGGCTCCCTGCTGAGGAGGCGGAGCCTGCTTCTCCCTCTCCCTCTCCCTCTGCTCCCTCTCCCCCGGCCTTCTCTCTCTCTCTTTCTCTCTCTCTCTCTGTCCCCCCCCCTCTCTCTCTCAAATAACTAAATAAAGTCTTGAAAAAAATAAAATTCTTACAGTACATTATTTTGTATATTATATTCTGAAACACGCGACTGTGCAAACTTTTACAGCTGATTCATTCATGCAGATAGTGTTCTAGTCTGGTCTGGGAATTAAGCTTCAGGGAAGTATATTAACCCTGGCCAGTGGTGGATTGCCATAGTGACAGTTTCCTGAGTGTCCTGTAAGAACGGGGTTTATTGCCCTCCCTGACTAATTATCCCCAGAAAGTGATAGAGATGTGTTTTTGTGGCCTCTGTGGCAGACTGTAGGTTGAGGGATAAGAAATGATTAGATGGAAAGAACATTACTGTATACCCCTCCTCCATAGCGCATATTTAATGTAAAAATGGTGTGTTCTATTGTTGTCTGTTATTTCCCGTATGCTGTGAAATGCACCATTATGTAGAGATTATGTTTCTATTTATTCGTCATTGTGTTCTTAGCACCTAGCATAGTAGTGGGCTTTTAGAGGCTTTCACTAGATAGTTCTTAAATGGATTAATTAATTGGCACAATTCATCCCATCATTGGCATTGGTGTTTCAGATGTCCTTGTGATGGAGTCATTTGTGTCCAATATTTTGCTCTGTGCTTGTTATTTAAGCAAGTCAAAAGGTGAAATTGACCATCATCTGTTGGAGGTTAAGCACTATATACTTTTTCCGAAAGGACACATGATTCTTGTTAGTTCCTTTTGTCTCTTTTGACCTTTCTTTACACTTCCTGATATATCAGAGGCAGCTTGGATCATTTCGCTGCCCCAGACTGGGCACTGGCTAGTTCTGTCACTGCTACTGGTTGATCCCATTGTCTTCACACTGATGAATATGGGTCCGAGGCAGTGGTTCTCTAACCTGACCACACATTGGAGTTTTAAAAATCTCTGGGTCCACACTTCACCTCCGACCAGTGCAATCAGAATTTCTGGGGGTAGGGGGAAAAGGCACAAGTGTTTTCTTAAGACTTTCCGGATGATTCCAAAGTACAACCAAAGTTGAGGACCGTTGGTCTAAGGAAAGTATTTTTACTTTCTGAAGCATTGTCTCTAAGAACGACGAGCTAAGCCAGCTTCACCTTTCATCATATTCACTTAGAGTCACAACTTTACCAGACCATCTTGCTGAATGTTTGATGCAGTGCTAGGAAATAGTATCTCCTTCTGAGAACTGAGCTTCATACATGAAATGAGCACATCACAGAACTGACCAAGAGCTGCCCATCATTTGGCATTTATTTTTGGAGGTATTAGGCAACCCAGGTCTGGGCAGATGAGAACAGTGAACATGATCGTTCCCATGATCCAATATCAAATTAACTTTTAAAAATCCTTTAATTATTTTCTCCCTTTAGTTAAACAGTTTCTTCTCCTTTGTACAAAAAAAATAAGATCGGGTATTGATTTTTAAATATGAATTACAGGAGTTTCAGGAGAGGATAGTCCTACTTGATGGGTTACAACCATTTTCAACGTATGTGATACAGACAGCTATAAAGAATTATTATTCAGACCCTCTGGAACGGTTACCTCTGGGAAAAGAGATTTGGGGAAAAACTAAAAGTGGAGGTGAGTTATGGGCTTGGGACGGGTTTTTAGAGTGGCATTTCGTGATATATGTGACATATGTTTCTATATATATTTTTTATATGGATGCTAAGTAATCTTGATTATGTGAAATTAAGCTTAATAAGAAAAATATATTGTTGAAAATACCCTGATGAACTGATCTGTGCTCTAACAACAAAAGAAGACTAATATTCCTTTGGAATGGAAAGCAATAAGAAGGTAAGGTATCAGCTTCAATACTTTTGACCAAGAAACACATTCTCTGGTCTCACCACAGGGTGTCACCCTTTTCCTATGTAGCCACAGGTCTCTGTATGCTTGGAGACACAGAATTCAGCCTTTTTTCTGTGTGAATTTTACCAAGGCCACAGAGATTGAAAGTAAATAACATCATTGCCTTGGGTGCCTGGGTGGCTCAGTGGGTTAAGCCTCTGCCTTCGGCTCAGGTCATGATCTCAGAGTCCTGGGATTGAGTCCCGCATTCTCTCTCTCTCTGCCTACTTGTGATCTCTCTCTGTCAAATAAATACAATCTTAAAAAAAAAAAAAAAAAAAATAACATCATTGCCTGAAAGAAAATGGATCTAGAATTAAAGAGGTGTTCTAAGTGGTGGCGATGATTTTGAGGTGATGCCATTTTTTTCAGATGTCTCTGATGACATTCCCCAAACAAATCTGAATGGGTTTATTCATCCTCATTGGCCCTATCATTGAGCTGGAGCCAGAGAATGAGTTAGTCCTAAGGCAAAAATAAGCAAGAGCCTTTCAAGCAGTCTGTTAACTTTCTATGTTACCGTGATATGAGAGACTGGCTTTCCTTTGGAACATCTGTCATTTGTTCTGCTCACGTAATATGATTATTCCACAACCAAGACCCCGTTCCTTCTTCCCTTGTTCCTTGCTGATGCAACATCCCTTGTCATTTGTTGCTGTTTATTTCAGTGCCAGAGGCAGTCAGGTTCATTAACACAACGGTGCAGTCAGACACCAGCCTTGTCATATCCTGGAGAGAATCTCAGAAGCCAAATGGACCTCAAGAGTCAGTCCGCTATCAGTTGGCAATCTCACATCTGGCTCTAATTCCGGAGAGTCCTCTAAGACAAAGTGAATATCCAAATGGAAGACTCGCTCTCCTTGTCACTAGACTGTCTGGTGGAAAACTGTATGTGTTAAAGGTACAGTGAGCATCTCGGGCTCTTGTATTGGTGTTCTCAAGTGTAAGGCTCTGAAGAGGTTAAGTAATTGTTCTTTTTTACAAAAAGGTTCTGGCCTGCCATGCTGAGGAAATGTGGTGTGCAGAGAGTCATCCTGTCACTGTCAAAATGTTTGACACACCAGAGAAACCTTACGCCTTGGTTCCAGAGAACACTAGTTTGCAGTTCAATTGGAAGGCTCCAGCTGATGTTAACCTGACCAGATTTTGGTTTGAACTCCAGAAGGTAGATCTCACCATACACTTTTCATAAAGATCTGTGTTTTATGCTATGGGATAAATTAGAAGACCTTGCTCATATGTCTAGAGTGTTCTCTTGTATAAATCAACAATATATTTGACAATATTCACTGATTTAGGTTTGCCATATACAGAAGCTATCTAGACTCATTTCTGACGGAAACAATTTCCAGAGAGATTAGTTTGCTCTTGAAAGGCTCCATGGAAAAGGGTATGAACTATGGATTACTGGTTTTCATAATATTTCACTTAGTTTAGATATCATCAGCGTGGCTGTCCAGCTTAAAGTCCATAGCAATTTGGTGTTTTCTATGAAAAGAATAAAAGAAATGAACAAGCAAATAAACAACACCCAAAACCTTGTTTAGAAATGTTCTTTCTGTCATTTAAGGGCTGTGTAGCAACAGGAGAGAAGTAAAACATTAAATGAGTTTATTCTAAACTAGTTTTTTCTTGGGTGATAAACTTTCATGCTTTATCCAATTTAAAAATACCCACTGAATTTGAAAGCATCAATTAATTTAATTAATTCACTGCTGGGGAAAGTCTATGTTGATTTTCATATTGCCCCACTTAAAATGGATTATTTAAATAATTGCTACATTTCATTTTCAGCAGTATGTATTTTGTGTGTCCACATTTGCAAAGATTGGTTAGGAATCCTTTGTTCAGTTGTACAAAAATGAAGCAGTATAGTCATGGCCTCGGTTTTTTAAAAAAACAAATGGAGTTGCTCCTCTGGATGTTTTTAAATTTTAGTATGTAAGATATATTTTTTAAAGATTTTATTTATTTATCTGACAGACAGAGATCACAAATAGGCAGAGAGGCAGGCAGAGGGAGAGGAAGGGAAGCAGGCTCCCCGCTGAGCAGAGAGCAATGCGGGGCTTGATCCCAGGACCCTGGGATCATGCCCTGAGTTGAAGGCAGAGGTTTAACCCACTGAGCCACCCAGGCGCCCCTGTAAGATATTTCCTACGATCTTGTACCCTTTAGATAAAATCTATGAAAACTGTGTAACAGCAGTGAATGTCAAATTGACAAAACCAATGGCCATAGTTTAGTTGGACTTTTTCCATTGAGCATGTTTACAATGATTTGTTGCCTATTTAAAAAATGGTCATCTTATAAAAATGCAATTAAATTGGAGGATCACCTTTTTTTGGACATCTGTTAAAGTAAGCTCAATGCACTTCAGTTTAAAGGCAAGGTGGGGGATGTAAACTTTATTTCATATGTCAAAGAAAGGAGATGGGGAAAAGCCTTACAGCTGGTGATCCTAAGCCCCTCCTTCTACTGATGAGAATTCGGAGAGCCAGACAAGTGCCATAGTGAGTCAGAAATCACAAGCCAGGCAGGGAAGAGTCCTGGGGGCTGACTCATCCTACACCAGTCCTACTTGGGTGCTGTCCATGGAAGGAATATGAGTCACTAAGGCACCCAACCCACTCCTCAAAGTTTGGGACCAGGACAGCTGACTGAGCCTGCTTGGTTCAGTCCTTGTGACTTTCATGCAGTGCTTTTTATTTCAAAACTTCCTCTGCATTTGTTGAAGAATCCACCACTTATAAAATTATGAAGCTGAGGGTGTAGGATACAGTAATTTTCACACTTGTGACCTGGTACAGCACTAACTGCTGAGCCCAGTGGAAGGCTGTGTTCTGAGAGGGTTGATGAGTACATCTAGTCAGAAAGTTCTGTATTTTTTGAGTAACTTGAACATACCTCATAATGATAAGACAACTAGGAGTAATGCTCTAACTCCATACTGAAACTCTGAGGGGTGAGAGCTAAGGGTGAATGTGTATCTTTTTGATTAATAGTTTTTAAAAAGAAAGAAAACAGAAGGATAAACTTCCTGTTTTCATCTTTGTTGTTAAAATTTCCTTCTATGGAAAATGAAGGAATTAGACCACATGGCTAAATTTCTACTAGTTCTTAAATTCCACAGTTATTTTTTTTAAATCACAACAGTGTATAGAAGAAGAACATATTTAACTTAGATTGAGGAGAAACAAGTAGTTTCACTTTGGTAAATTATTTTCATGAAAGCCCATTAAAAGTTGAGTTTTTCTCAACTGTCCAGGAAAATTCTTACCAGAACCAAACATTTTTGAAGTTCCATTCTCTGAGACATGATAGTCTGCACCATTTCCTCCACACCCCCGCCCAAATAATTTGAAAATCCCTCTGTGGTATTGAAAATCACCCCTGCACTTGTTGGCCTCTGACAAATGGAAGGTCCTGACTCTCTTGTGATTTACTGGGGTAGCCATGGCTCCTCTCCAAGTTGGTGGTCTGCCCAGAACATTCATTGCTGTGGTGAGGCCAGTACTCGACAGTTTTCCAGCAGAACCCTTGGTCACACATCTGACCTTCCAAGGAGCTTTGATCATTTCTGGGTGGTATGGAATGTTGGACCATCTAGACTATTCACTTATGATAGTTTCTACAGCAGATTATTAAGGAGCCAGGACCACAAAAGGCTAAAATTTTTGAGCCAGAAATCAATATTTATCTCTGTCTCTTTCTGTTTCTCTCTCTGTCTCTTTTTCCCATGGTTCAGAGTAAATATTGTGGACACAATGCATCTGTTTCTAAAGCCTGTATGTTGTAGTGGGATTGGTCCATTTATGAATTTAGCAGGCAATGGCTCAGACATCAGCATTTCTGTATTTTTTCCCATTCCTTCCAACCACCCTTTGCCTCTTTCTTTTTGTAACAAGGTGGTCTACTTCCTGAAGGTGCCATAGGAATCATTCCTAATTGAATAGAAACTAATAAAAAGTGTCCATCCAATGAAATGATGTGACCTTGTGAGTGTGAAATGAAAAACGAGATGTAAAGTAAGGTTTATTTATGGAAACTGACCTTCTTAGGAAACTCTACTGGAGAAAATACGCTAAGAACCCTTGACAAAACGCCATATCCTCTCTGTCTTTCCGTACTCATACACTGAAAAAAAAAATCTCCATTTTCAAATAAGATACCAAGGGTCCAAATACACAGATTTTTAAAAAGCCATGCACAAAGCAAGTGTAAGATAGCTATAAATAGAGACCCGGTATCTACAGTGGAATGGAAGTAAGATTTCCTAAATTTAACTTCTAACCTTGCTACTTGGTAGCTGAATGATGATGGGCAGAAGTTTCCTTCTTTTCGGGAACTGGGTTTTGTATGTCTAAACATAAGGAATGCTGGTTAGAGGTCTGAAAGGAGATTTGGAGGAAGAAACTAAACGTTTTCATTTATAAGTCATGGTGAACCTCTTGAAAGAATCAAAATATGTAAAAATATTATTAATTTGAAAATACATTATTAATTAGCAAATACACAGAATTGAAAATATCATTGCTCTGACCCATCATGGTTCCTCAGCTGTGAATTTGCATTCTCAGCTATCCTGATTTAAGGTAGGTATCTGCCATTAGGGATAACAAAAAGATAAGCTTCGAATCTTCCATAATGAATATATATAGTAACAGATTCATGTCTTTCATTGGACTCATCCTACGGACCGTCCTTCAAGTCAGTTATAGCTTGTCACAAAAGCAGAAAAACAAAAACAAAAAACCCCCATAAAAACATAAAATGGGGGGCGCCTGGGTGGCTCAGTGGGTTAAGCCTCTGCCTTCGGCTCAGGTCATGATCTCAGGGTCCTGGGATCGAGCCCCGCATCAGGCTCTCTGCTCAGCAGGAAGACTGCTTCCTCCTCTCTATCTGCCTGCCTCTCTGCCTACTTGTGATCTCTGTCTGTCCAGTAAATAAATAAAATCTTTAAAAACAAAACAAAACAAACAAACAAAAAACATAAAATGGCTGTCAGTGGTAGAGATAATGTTTAAGATCAAACATTCATAAAGAAGCTCTTCTTTTTTAACAGAAAATATATTTGATTTAATTTTTTAGTGGCTTGCCATAGACTTGTGAATTTCTATGTTGTTTTCTTAAAGAAACAAAAAATATTACTTCTTTTTCCAGTGGAAGGACAGTGAGTTCTCCCATGTTAATGCTTCATGTATCCAAGGCCCAGATTATGTGTGTAACATCACAGATCTACAGCCTTACACGTCCTATGCTGTCCGTGTAGTGGTGGTTTATAGGACAGGAGAAAACAGCACCTCACTCCCAGAAAGCTTTAAGACAAAAGGTGAGTCCTAACAGCCTCAGTATTAAAAAAAAACAAAACAAAACTGTAAGTTTCTCAATGCCTCTCTTACCACTTCTTTCACCAATCCTAGAGGTTAACCTTTTTTTAAAAAGGTGTAAATTACTATTTCTAGAGCTTGAGTGAAGAACCTGAAAAGAACCAGGAGTCCTTACAGGCATTAACGAGGTAATACTGACCTGGTCTTGTAGAACCCTGAACTGGGCAAGGTTATTTCACCTTTCAGTATCCTCTGCTTTCTGTCTGGCTGTGACATTTTGCAGTGAGAATGAAACGAAAACAGTGTTATTGAGTGTTCAACATATATTTACTCACTGACTGCTATCTTCTAGATGCTAAAAATAAAAATCCAAAAGAATGTCAGTTAGTGATCCCTATAAGTTGATCCCTATAGAATCAAGGAAGAAATTCTCCCAAATTTACAGTAGTTTTCTTTGCATCATTTACTTTGTGGTGAGCTAGAATCCATCTAATCCATCACTTGTAAAAACTTCAGATACTCATTTAAAAATACACACTCATGGGGTGCCTGGGTGGCTCAGCGGGTTAAAGCCTCTGCCTTCGGCTCAGGTCATGATCCCAGGGTCCTGGGATCGAGCCCCACATTGGGCTCTCTGCTCAGCAGGGAGCCTGCTTCCCTTCCTCTCTCTCTGCCTGCCTCTCTGCCTACTTGTGATCTTTGTCAAATAAATAAAATAAAATCTTAAAAAAAAATACACACTCATATGAGAATATTTTTGAATATTTCTTTAATGTATTTGGCTTTCCTCTTTGGAAAGGTATTCTATAGAAAGATGCTATGCAGAATATTTTATATTTTATTTTATTTTATATCAGAAATATTTTATTTCTGACTTATTAGTCAGTATTTTCTTATGTTTCCAAAGCTGGAGTTCCAGGTAAACCAGGTATTCCAAAAGTATTAGAAGGGAGCAAAGATTCAATACAGTGGGAAAAAGCTGAAGATAACGGAAGCCGGCTTGTATACTATATCCTTGAGATCAGGTACGTCTGTTTGCCAAAGTGCTTTGTAAACTACAAAGAACTAAGCAGTTAATTATAAGGTATTATTAGATTGAAATTAACTATATTTATGAACGTGTATTCATAAGTAAATACGAAGGGTCTTTAGTTGAAGGACCTTGAGGGCACCGTTATGTTCTCTGCCTTGGCACTCCAATTATAAGGCAGATCACATCATTGTTCTTGGAAATCTGCAACTACTTGTCAGAACTTTATGGAAATAATCCAATCATTGGCACATGCAGTTAATATTTATTTAATATCTGTTCCGTTCAAGAAGCTGAGCTGATGTTCGATATGAGATGATGGTATGCGTGTGAATTTCTGATGATAATTTGTTTTAGCAAGATAAATAATGTCTAGTGAGAACTGGCAGTGAACTAGGTATTTTCAGAATGTACAAACAGGTCAAGGTCTGAAATGGTCTGACCTGTAGAGATCACACAGGATTCTTCGTCCATTGTGAAGATTACAGTTCGCAGTGTGCTCCCAAGAGTCTGAAAATGCGCCTTTAATGAAAACCGTGCAGCTGATGAACATAAGCAACCCCAAAGCTGGCCACTATGGGGAGCTCTGTAAATGGGAACTGACTCAGAGGGACTGATTTCATGCCAGCTTGAGGGGAGAATTCCAAATTTCACAGACACTCCCCTCACAGGTCTATGAAGCTATCTTTTAAGAAGCTCCAAGGACAAAAGTCACTTCCATAATTATAGTCCTGGCAACTTGAGCGTTAGATCTATTTTTGCTTCATCTTTCTCTGGTACTCCCATAACCTTAACAAATTTTCCTGCACATGGTAGAGAATTACATTGGCCGCATTTCTAACTGAAACCTCTTTGAGATTCCTATTACTGTTTTTTACGCAGAGTCAAATACATTCTAGTCTACTGAAACCTCTTTGAAATTCCTATTACTGTTTTTTATGCAGAGTCAAATACATTCTAGTCTACTGAAACCTCTTTGAAATTCCTATTACTGTTTTTTATGCAGAGTCAAATACATTCTAGTCTACTGAA